TGATTCCGCCTTGGCCTTCAGCCGGGCGTCCTCGATCCGGCCCTGCTCCTCGCCGCTGGTGCGAGACGTCTTTCTAGAAGACGTTCACCCTCCCCAAACGCGCAAACCGCTACCGGCAAAAGAAAAACATGGTGCGAACAACCAACCGTCCTCCATGCACCTCAGGCCTGAGACCTGGCAGTCCCAAGGTGATGGAAACCGGGTTGATTGAGAGGGGGCTCACCTTCCACTTGGAGACAAGCCCGTGTGGTTCCGAAGTTTGCGTTGGTTTCCGATTGCAAACGCGACCTCAAAGGCACTCCAAGCAGAAAAAATGGGCATGGCTCAAAGTCAGGTGAGCCTTTCCCTTTCTAAATCATTCAGCAGGGCGTGGCTCACCCATCCCGAACTCAGACCCTTTCAGAGTTTTTGCAAGCTCGGAACATCCAAAGTTTGATGGAAGAGCTCCCCTGTGCCCTTAAAAAGGGAAAGGGGGTACAAGACTTGTTCTGAAGAGCGCATGCCCAGGCAGGTGGTTAAGGTCCTTTCTGTTTCAAGGGCTATTTTTCAGGTTTCCGAGGGAATGGGTTTGGAAGCTTTCCCCTAGTGGCCCCAAGCTGACCGAGCAGGCTTCAATTGACAAATCGGCTCCTGTCGGATGCTACGCACATGAGTGTCCTTACAATTAGAACCCGTTGAATCCTCTGAACTGACTGAGTTTTTCCTTTGAAGGTACGGTTTCCGGTTGGTTGCAAGCCAAAACCCAAGGAAGAGACCCTTGGGCCCACCCAAAAAAAAAAAAAACACTGGCGAATTCCCCGGCGAGTCGCGCGGCGTCGCTCCTCCGCCCGGAACTTGACTTCCGCATCTTTCAGCCGCTCCACGATGGCCTGCGCGTGGCGGAGGCCGAGCCAAAGCCCAACTGGGGCCAACTGGGGCTTCCGTGTAAAACGGTAAGAACACTTTTATATAGTGGATATAGATGGGTTTCCCTGGTAGATGATTAACCACCAGGTAAACCAGGAATCGCCATCTATTTTTCTACCAAAACAACACAAACATGGGTGCCCGCCTCTTTCCAACAAGGTGACAAGGCCCTGCAAAGGGAAGCAAAGTAGTCTCGCCTTCCTGCTTCCATGTCTTTTGGAAGGAGCATGTGTGTGTGTGTGTGCGTGCGCTTTGGGATATTTGAAGGCGATCGTCATTTAGGAGCGACCCAAGAATAGGAATGCAGAATGAACAACACATTAAATGTAGGTCATGAACAATTTGGCGTTTGTTTCAAGCCGACTAGCCGCATATCCTTAAACCACCACTTAAGATTGTGTTCTTCTGATGTCCTGCGTCCGCCTGCTCCTCATCATGAAATCCAGCCTTTTGAGCGTCCATGTGGGGTCCACGCAATCGGCCATTCACCTTGCGTGTTGAACAGGTGGCCTGGCACAATGTAAAATGTGCGCCTCCCCTTGTGCCTCCTTTTTGAGCGAATGTAAAATCATAAGCTATTCAGCGCCCACCGGAAGAGCAAAGAGGTCAAAAGGCTATCTTTAGGCGAAAAGGTTTCAAGGTGGCCAGTATTGCTTCTAAGCAAATAGATGTGTGCTGTTTCGAGGCCCGGCAACCTTTTTTTCGGCGGTCCAAACCAATCCCTATCTTGACCTACGCCCAAATCACAACCTGGAAGGAAGCAATGACCTGAGGTGGTCAAAAGGTCAAAAGGCCATCAAATGGAAAAGAGATGAAACACAAGATCAGGATCGGAGAAGTATCTTGCTGGTGCTCAGGGAATGAGAATTGGATACACCATCCAACTGGTGGTTTCCTTTAAGGGGGCCAAAAGCCTGTGTTCATTCATCGCACCAGCCTCCCGAACACACGTGGCCTTTTCGAGGCCTTCCCGAGGCCCGCCCTCTCTCGCCTGCTTCAGCTTGTCCTCGGCCTCGCTGAGCCGCGTCTGCTTCTCCTCCGCCAGCCTGGCCTCGGCCTCCCGCAACTTCTCCTCGCAAAGGGCTGTCGTCAGGTGCCCCGCCATTTGGGTGTCTCAAAATGGGGGCCAGGGCCAAAACTGGAGAGTTTTCCTCCCGGCTAGGGCGATTGCCGAAACATAGTGAATCCCGAGGGCCCAAAGCAATCTCTTGGATGGCCAAGGGATGCGCTTCCACTTTCCTCGCACAATTCCCTTTACGTCGGCAAGTAAAGGGGGATGACTAAGCAAAAATGGGAGCAAGTGTGCCATCGACCTTCGCCCAAGTGTATCCTTTGACCGGAGATGGCACAAACAAGTTCTTTGGACCAGATGCGCCAGTCCCAAAACGGTTTGAAAGGGAGGAAACCTAGAAAGAACCAACCATATATGAGGTTTCTGCCAAACGAGTTCCCCATGCGCCATCGCGGTGCAATGTCCAGCCCGCTTTCTTGGGGACAGATTCAAGGGAAGGAATTACTTGCCCCGTGGCCGCCTGTGACGGTTGGCCAGATTAAGGGGCCGTCTTGAACTAGAGGGATTTGTAAATGGGGTATCGATAGTAAGTAGCATCAACCCAAAACAGGAACAATTTTGCTGAGAAGCCTTGGCAGGTTTCGGTTTAGACGTGCGTGGCGTGCACAAACTTGCAGATGAATAAGACTTGGCAGGGTGATATGGACCACTTTGAATCAAGCTCAAGGGTTCCATCCCATTTCCACATCGCTAACCCAGGCAAACCGCCCCACCACTCAAAGCTACTTGCAACTCCAAGAACCCCCCTCCAAAAATAACGAACAGCTTTGAAACTGCTTGACGGCTTTTGGCCGGCGACGTTGCCTGCAGCTCAGCTGCCGCATCAGACTGGACCTTCTCCAGCGCCTTTTCCACCTCACGCGCGCATGCGAAGGCTACCAACTGACAGAGAGCAAGAGGGGAGAGAGAGGGAGAGAGAGACAAAAAACAAATAGCAAAAGAGACAGAGGGAGAGAGAGAGAGAGAGAGAGAGAGGGAGAGACAGAAAGAGACAGAGACAGAAACATAAGCATGGACATGTGTAATCATGGTATCATGTTCTGATGTATTCGCATACCTATGCATTTGCCTGCGTTCCCTGCTTCTAGGTTTGCATATCAACCCCTGACATTTATACCTCCACACAGTAGTAGTTATCATGTATGTGGGTGTGCGCCCATGTTCAAGAGGTCGTTGTTGGTTTCTTTCATGAGTAACTTGTACGGTTCAGAACCACATTGGCCGGCGCGCCTCTTTCCTCCTCTGCTCCTCCTGGATGGCATCCTCGTCATCCTAGGGCCCCCGCTTCGTTCGCCCCCTCCCCCCCCCCTGCCCAGCCGCCACCCTTGCTCCACCTCTTGCGCGCTGCCAAACCGAGCTGCCAAGCTGTACGGTCTCTGCAGCCCCTACTTGTCCCAGGTCAAGCGGGGCTTCACACTTTCAACACCTAGCAGATTCCACACTCTTCCCGCCCTCAAAAAGGAAAAGCATAAAGGAAAACAAAAATTGCGGCAAGGGGTCCCGGGGTCTTGTGGTGAGGGTAAGGCTTTTCTTCAAGGTTGCGAAGGCAACTTGGCAGGTAAAGGGAAATAACAAGAAGACAAAACCAATTTCCAACCCGTGGGTTTGGATCCTACGGCTCGGAGCACCCCTTCAGGGGAACTGGGGACGGGGGTCGAGGCCCCCGGCCACGGCATTCGCGCTCAGCGCCTCGAGCTCTTTGGTGGCGGCGGCCACGGCACGCTCAGCGCCCTGCGCGCGGGCATCGCCGGGAGTGAAGCGCTGCCATGCCGTGTCCCTTGCTAACCCGGACACCGCTAGGGAACCCAATACCATCTCACACGGGTTTGATATTGAGCCCCTTAGAAACAGGAGGTCCCTTTGCTAGTAGCTTTCAAGACGTTCAAAAAGCAGAATGGTTCTCCGGGAGCTTCCTACAGGTTTTTTGAGCGCCCAACTTGATGTTCTGCTCGCAACACTGAATTTGCCCCCTTCGCCTTTTGGACCTCGCGTGAACCTTCAACCATGCGGAGGTTTGACGCCCACATGTCCCAAACGCCAAAACCTCAGCCTTTCGCAAACAAGAAGACTTGAGAAACGGCGGGCCGAGAGCTAGTTCTCTTCGTATTGCCCGCGCCCCTGCCCGAAGCTTGCGAACCGATGCCCAAATGGCAATTCATCTGGTCAGTTGAAGGACGGCCCATGAGTTGCTTCCCCCAGCGCTTGCCTTGATGGCGGTGGCACGGGACGGTAGCGCCGACCTGACCCCAAGACTAAACCAAAAGTCTTCGTACGTGAACGTCCTCGCTTGCGGACCCCCCCCCGGCACAGAGACACCGAACTACACATGGGTCTCAGCCACCGGGCTGTGGATCTAAATGATCCACGCCAGGCACCAGTCGGTAGGTGGATTTGTGTATCAGTCTTCAAGGAACTTCATCCATCCCCACTGCAAAGGTGGTCCATCAACAGCTGGCAAATCGAGTGGCTTGAGTGGAACCCCAGGCCCAGAAAGCTACGGGGTGCCATTAGGGTCAGGGCTTTCCAGGAACCAAAGGGCTTGCCCTCAAGTGGGGGTGTACCCCAATGATTTCCTTTTGGCGACTTTGCGCTCGGGCGATTTGAGCTCCATGGCAACTGCACAACTGACCCCATGGCATGTAACCTTGATGTACGCACGTGCTTGGCAACGGCAGCGGCCGCAATTCTCACAAGAAAGCAAATCCATCAATAGGTCAAAGGCGGAATGCATGAACATGTTTGCGAGTGGTATGGACCCATGTACGTGTCAAAACATGGGGGCCCCAAACATTGCTGGTTTCCTTCCGGTTGCTGCGTAAACCTACCTAGACATCTTCACGAGCTCGGACATTCGGAGGGGCGCCGATGGGCTCAGCCACTTGGGCCGCCCAAACAAACTCAAGGGGACCAAAGCAAAGGAAGCCAGAAATCTGGGAACACCAAGCCAACCGAAATCTTCCGCCACAAGAACTCCAAGGCCAAACGAGCCGAAACAAAACCAGGCAACAAGCACCGGGCGCCGCACGAAGAGGAGCGCCTAGCGAGAGATGGGAGCCCGGGACAAAGAAGGGGGACCCTCAAAATAAATGGCGGTGTCCCCTTCGTTTCTTTCAAACCAACTGCGAAAGGGGCAAACGCACACACACACACACACCAAACACACAACGAAGCAACCAAACAAACAAACACTCCCAACCCCGCAATAATCTAGGGGGTCCGGTACCTATTGGTGCCGCAAAACAGTAGACAATGGCCAGGGCTGATAGATAGATCGATAGATAGATAGATAGATAGATAGATAGATAGATAGATAGATACATAGATAGATAGATACATAGATAGATAGATAGATAGATAGATGGATAGATAAATTAGATAGATAGATACATAGATAAATTAGATAGATAGATACATAGATACATAGATGCATAGCTAGATAAATAGATAGATACATACATAGAAAGATGGATCACTATTGATGGATAGATGCAGAAAAGGATAGATGGATATTGATAGAATAGGTGTACATCATGTTCTTTGGGGAGGGGGGTGGAGGTGGCGGCCTTAGTCAGACCTTTTCGGCTGAAGGCCGGAGGGGGTGGATCCAAGCCGCTACCCCAAAAAAGGTCAAAAGGGCAAGCTAGGATATCAACTCCTCACTAGAAGGTTTCGACATTGTAAGGGCTCGTACGCGAACCATGACCAAAAGGATTTGACCAAAGAGTTTTGTCCATGGCACATATGGGCGAATTATTGAGCACCCGAGTCAACGTTCTAACGGCCCCTTCCGGCTTCCTTAGCACCGCTCTTTTGCAAGTTTCCAGCTGAATTCGAACACACATCAGTCGTATTTCTCTGATTGAACATGGACCCCACTTTGGGCGTCCCCACAAAAAGGCGTCGTTTAAAATCATGACTGGGCAGAGTTGGCTCACGACTTCTGCTAGATGACCAGCGTCAGGCCTGGTTCCTTTATGCGAGGTAACCTGCAAGAGGTGAACCATTGTGCTGCGTGGAGCTCGTCAATTCCAAAGAGTTAGCCGGTTGGTTCGGACGCTAGCAGCTTGCCTCGTTCGGCCGTTAGAAGCACCAATTCAGTGGAACCCCCGACGCATGCTGGGAACCCCGCGATCTCTTGCGCCTCCGGCCTGCGCTGGAAACGCCCCTCTCTCCAGCGCGCAAGCTGCAAAGGCTTTGGAAGATTGCCTTTCTTTTGGGGAACCCGTAGCCTTCCGTTGGACAGAGGGTGGAGCACATATGTTAAGGAGACAAAGTCTACCCAAGTCGCGGCAAGAACTTACAAGGGCCACACCTATTTCAGGGGCCGCCCCTCACAACCCAGGTTGTGATTGTGGCTCAGCTCGGGCCAGGAAACCTCGGCGTCTGCCAAGCAGCACATCCGTCCTAGGGGAAGATCGTTTGGGGAAGGGGTTCCGGATCCGTGGGCAAAGAATGGAGTGGCCAACCATCTGAAACAAAGGACCCTGGGGACGCCTGAAGCTGCTCTGAAAATCGGGAGCCCCAAAATGGGCGTTCTTTGATTCACAAACTTGGCCGAAGCCGGACCTTTGCGGTGTCCTTTCCAGGTACCCGCTCCAATGCTGGCCTGACTCGCATTTAAGCTCAAAAGCCAGCGCTTTTGCTGGTTGGAGAGCATGGGGGTGAGGAAACTCACAAAAGGCATCCATTTGTAGCTTTCTTTGCAGGGAGTTGTCAGTTCATCCACCCGCCTCGCCGATCTCGCCGATCCCGCCTCTCCCTCCGGCGCCTCTGGCTGGCTCAGACAGAACTGGGCCTTGGACTTATATAGCCATTTGTTCAGTACCCGACCTAAAACCGTAGTACCCCTAAGTGGCTTATAACACTTTTTGCTAGCCTCCGTAGCTGGGTCCCGGACTATCTAGGTCTCAACACTCGCAACCCGGAAAGAAAGAATTTGGAACTCCACAGGGGCAAAACCTGATCCCGAGTATCCCCATCAGCCAGAATCCATTGCCCGGAACTTCCTCGCAACCTCAGGGATACTTCCGGCATTCGAAGTTGCGGAGGCGGATGGATCGGGGTGTCGCTCCCATTGAAAGCGGCTATGGCTGTAAGATGTTGCCCAGAGCCAGAACTCAAAGCTGCACATTGGAGCGCTTGATGCAAAGTCCACTCGTGTTGAAACCAAAAGTTCAAAAATGGATTTGATCTGGGCCAGTGAGACATACACAACGCACTGCGGCTGGCCAAGGAACGACTTGTTGAAAGAAAACGTGCCCAATGACAGAAAGAGCACCTTGTGCATGAAGGAAATACAGCACCCAATGGCCCAACACCCAAGGAATGTCCTTTGCCCTTGGGATCTTGGAAAGCCTTCGTCGGATCATGGGCAAAAGTTGCCGGCGAAAGTTCGGACCGTCTAAGCCAGCGGTCAAGCCGCAGCCAAGAAATGACAGACTACCAAATGCAAACCGATCCTGAAAAATCAAAACCCAATGTTTAAGGAAAAACAGCTTCCCAAATTCCCGGCTATACAACATGCCAGGTGCCAGAGGCCGCACTTCTCTCGGTTTTGAGCTTCGGGTGTCGGGACGAACGATCCATGTAGGGAGGGGCCGGAACCCTAAACCCTAAACCCAAGGGATGCCCTGTAGGAGGTTTAGACAGCGCTGCAAATGAAATGGACTTTCGGGCCTACCAGCCTCATACGAACGGCTGTGACCAAAAACGAAGCCAGCCATAGGCGATGTTCTCGGCTTAAACAAAACACATAGGGCACCAGGGCTACGCCGGCTACGCATGCTAAATCAAAATCGCAGAAACATATCCCCTTCTGAATGGTTTGGGTCCAGCCTGCGCCCGCGAGTGTGCCGCCGGCCCTGGCGAACGAAGAAGGCAAAGCTCAGCTCAGGGTTTCATGTCCGTCTGACCAACCCCCTACTGCTAATGAACAACCTTCGCTGCCTAGTTGAGTGTTTCCTAAAATGGGCATAACCCCCTTGATTGGGCTTTTGGCTTGGTAGTTGGACGTCAGGGGATACCTTCCCCATTTTCTTTCAATAGCACCAGGGTGCAAATTCCCAAACCACTGATTTAGGGGTACCCGACCACCGCTCCCAGAAACCAAAGATGAGCCGGCTCTGCATGTCTGCGACGTCTCCGCGCACGACTTCTGCTGGAGCTCTCGCTGCTCTCGCTCTCCTGAATGCGCCAATGTGGCAGGGTGGGTTTGGCTTCTCATGGATCCTTAAAGGGCCCAGCCATTCCAAACTGGCCCAGATGCATCTTGTTTTTTGTTCAACTGTAAAACGAGGATTGCCAACTACTACTCAAGGGCACCTAGACCACCGACTCAATTCAATGAAAAAACGAGCCGTGAGGCCGCGACACGGTTACACGCACACGCACACGCACACGCACACGCACACGCACACGCACACGCACACGCACACGCACACGCACACACACACGCACACGCACACGCACACGCACACGCACACGCACACGCACACACACACACACACACACACACACACACACACACACACACACACACACACACACACACACACACACACACACACACACACACACACACACACACACACACACACACACACACACAACCCACGCACGCACGCACGCACGCACCTACCCACCCCACCCGCCCACGCACGCACGCTCCGCCCCCGCCTTCTTTGCTTTGCTCTTCGTACCTCCGAAAGCCACGCTTCGCTACTCCGACCCAATCTCGCGTCACCCGTCGCGATCCGGTGGGCCGGCCCGTCTGCCCGGCCTTTCGCCGCCGTCTTCAGGAAGTCCTCCAGGAACTGAGCCGAGTGCCTGACAGGAGGCTCCAGTCTCGCAGGAACTGACACAAATCGCGCGAGACGTTTGATGCTCAACAGGTCAACCCCACTGATGAAAGAGGAGTGGTCGACGTGGCTGGGGATGGCAGCCAGAACAGGGTTGAACTCGAAATTGGAATGAAAGCGACACATTTGTTGAGTTTGGTGGCTCAACATGCGCATGTGGTGCCCTGGATGCTTGGAAAGTATGCACGCACAGAGCGTGAACAATGAGCTGCATAGGTAGGTATAGTTAACTCACCTGAATTGACGGACTTCCACCCTGGGTTGCCTGCCACGCGCAGAATCTCGGTACGCACGGGGGATTGTGTGATTTGAGGCGGCCCCTCGCGACATGTTACGACTGCCTTTGGGGCAAGCGAGGCGCCCGCAAACCGTGCAGCCTGGCGGGATCATAGAAGCCGCCGCCGTGGGCATCGCAGTAGGAGCGCCAGGCTTGCTGGAAGGGTACCGACGCCTTCTGATTGCTCTTCACCTGCCGGCGGGAGCTCAAACCAAAAAATTGAGAATCAGACACCAGCGTCTGGCTGAGGCACGCGGATCTTTACAGAAGGGGGTTAGCCCTCAGAAACAATGAACCCCTGGCCTGGTCAACCAGCACTCGCCGCTGCTGGTCGCCGGATTCAGTCCCTGAGTCATCCTGCAAGCAGTTGAGGTGCTGGAGCAGTTTGTTGCTGGCAACGTCAAGACTAAAGGCCTGCAACAAAACAAACAAACAACAAACAAACAAACTGCGAATACAACTGCAGTTGCAACTACAAACACAATCGCAGACAAACACACGCCAAAGTTTTGAGCCGCCAGTTGCCCTTTCCATTTCTGTTTTTTACAGAAGTGACAATCATGAGTGTACAATCACAATCTTGCTCGGGAATGGTCCTCAGTCAAGTTCCGTGAAAACGCAACAAGCAACCCGCAGCTGAAACCGCAAATGCCCAACGCGCTCGCCTTGTCATCATCTGCCGCAGGCATGGGACATCACTCCTGGCTGATATGCTTGGAGCTGGCTCCTACTTTGCATGCTGCCTTTGTTGATGCATTTGATCCAACAAGAAAACAACAAACAAAGCAAACATTAACAAACAAAGACTGAGATAAACCGGCTCAGCCGAGGGGTTCCATTTCAGAAAACATGAAAACATGAGGACGGACCTGGATAACCCAAACGCTTCCAACCACGTCCAGCAAAAAAAACACCAAAACGCTTCCACCTTAAGGCCCTTCGAGCCTTTTTTGTGGGCCCTTTCACCCCTTTGCCTTAGAAAAAGCCGGGGCAAACCAGCCCAAGCGCCTCCACCTGCCGGGTGGAACCACACTTGCCCTTGAGCCAAAGGCCATGCATCGCCCAGCAAGCACTGAGCTGAGGCAATGCCAAGTATTTGCTGCTCAGCACGGGAATCATTGAGTGGAAGCCTCGGCGACGGGAAGGGGCGCTGAGTTTCAGGAACACCCAAAAGGACCCCAGGCAATTCCGGGGAGCTCAAAGTCTCAAAGACCCACGGTGAAGAACACGGCCTCACCCACAGGTGTTGAATACCTATCCCTCCGGGAATTAAATGTGTGTGAGGTCATTGGGCGCCTAGCATCCGCTTTTCATCGGCCTCTTTTCAGCTTGGCCTGCACGCCATAATCCGCGAGCGTTTCCTTCAAGGTAGCCCTTGCCGCAACCAGCTCGGCAGTGATGGTGCCCCGTCGTATTTGGTAATCCTGACTGGCTCAAGGGCCCTAAACTATTTAAACTGAAAAACCTGGAAGGATAGCAACAACGCCACCACAAATCCACTCCAAGACACAAAAAGACTCTTCAGACCTCCGAAAGCCGAATCTCTCTCCGAGCCGCCCCGCGAAAGGGGAAGTTCACATCCACGGCCAAGCGGAAGAGAGTGAGGAAGGCCAAGGCGAGGGTCGAGAAGAAGCACCGGTCCACAATGGAAAACTCGCTGTTGGGATCCGCAGCCTGGCGATGGCTCGCCATCCCAAGGATCACTTGACCCAAATCTAAACCGCTTGGAAGGCCTCAGCCACTCACCATCACCTATCACACATGTCATGTATGATACCTTTCGCGAGGCACAACGCTGCAACACATCCGTAAAACTGGGCGACTACCCTGGTCTACCATCCGCGATGCCTACAAAAGGTCTGAGCACCAAAAACCGCATTCTTCGCAGACCAGTTGACATGGCCCGGTTTGCCCTAAGGTGACCACTGGCATCGAGCCCAGTGCTGGTCCAAGAGCTGTTCCTGGCCTCTCGCAAGGCGAAGGAGGCGGAGATGAAGATGGACAACAGCCCAAAGGTCCAGAAAAATGTGGTGGGGAGGGTCCTTGACTCAGCACCCGCAAAACGTGGCTCTGTTCTTTTGGCTGGGAACGGAAAAAGGAAGGACATCGACCAAGGCAGGGGCAAAAGGTGATGTAAGTCCGGCAATGGCTCAAGGACTCTCTGGACAGGCGCCCGGCGCGGAACTCCCGCATGGTATTGGTCATCTGCAGGCACAGCTGCAGCTCTGGCTCGTAGAGCGGGGCTTGCTTCGAGCTCTCCTAGAAAGAGACCGCCACCCCCCCCCCCCGATTTTGGGACATGACGTTCTCATTTCAGCAGCTGGCCACTGTGACTGTCCTTTCCCCCCCCCCCATACACAACGTCCATTGGAAAATGTATAGCAAGCAAAGCAAAGCAAAGCAAAGCAAAACAATACAAGGCAAGGCAAGGCAAGGCAAAGCAAGCAAACAAACTACATCTGTTCACCGTTCACGAGTATCAAAGTCAGGCCCTGGTTGCTAGCAAGCCCTTTGCTAACCACTGGTGGCGAGTTGATTGACCGGTTGGTTCATCTATGTGCTCTTTTGCTTGGTGATACATTTATATGGGACCTGTTTTGAGGGGTAGCCCTTTTGGTTTCCTTCGATCGAGAAGCCACAGCAAACGAAACCAACCAATCTTGGGGGTGTTGCCCGGGTTCTTGGTCAATGTTGGCCCCGGACCACGCCGCATTTTCGTTTCGGCCAAGTCGCCCGCCGGTTTCGGCCCCACTTCAGCAACGACACCCGGTAGTTGGACACGCTGTCCAGCCGCCGCTTGCGCTCGGCGATGTCCATCAGCTCCTTCATGTGAAGCACCCTTCGCCCTGAAACAGCTGGCCATGGGTCAAAGGCCAAATCGCACCCAGTGAACATCCGATTCTATCCCCACTAACATAAAATGGGTAGTGCACCTACCCCAAAATGGTACCATTGGTTTTGACCTCCCCCCGCCCAGAAATGAACGCCTCTTCGAGGCCAGCTTTCGGGCCAAAAGGTTGAGAACTTCCCGAGGGCAGGCAAGCAAGAACATATGCCCTCGAAGCAGTGGCTCGTTAGCAAAATCTACTGTTTTATTTCCCTCATCCTCTTTGCCAAGGAGAATTCTTAGTTGCACTCACGTATCAGAACATCTCCCAAAGAAAAGTATCTTGCACGTATGCATGCACATGTTCCGCTGTAGGTTGGCGTTTGAGAACTTCAGACTCTGTATGGTAAAAAGGGTGTGTCGGAACAAGCAACCAGTCTAAGAACACTCCCCTTACCCCCAACTCACCTTCCACCAACCCCAAGAGCGCCTCCCCTCCCCCCGTAAAAAACACCCCCCCAAACTCCTCGCCCCGTGTGCCAAAAGCCAGACGGTCCGAGTGGTGCCACCTTGGTTGACGTTGGAACGGGAGCAAAATTCTAAAAAATATAGCAGTTAAGTGGTTGGATTTCAACCACTAAACCACAACAAGCAAAAATAAGCAAAATGGTTCCCAACAACAACCATGCCACAGGGCGTTGAGGCACTCCTTCTCGCAGCCCAGCGCTGTGGCGCGGCTCTCCGCGCTCAACGCCGACTTGTCCAGCCTCAGCTCTCGGGGCCTCTCGCCGCGCCGCGCACCCCACGCGGTCGGTTGAAGGAGGCTCTCGGAGAAAAATAATAAACATGTTGGCCCTTTTTTGCAGAGGGAAATCCAAGAGGTTATGGGGTCCGACAGGAAGCCGAACGCTTTAGGAAATGGACCTCTTCGGAGAGCGCACCTCCTCCAAAAGCCCTTCTTCGGGCTCCATGTCTGTTTGTGAAAGGCAAGGCTACACCAGGGCACTAGGGTGAAAGTAACTGGCAAAATGTCCCTCTTTAGTTAGTCGCAACAAGATTGACTTCGTGCTAATTATGCCCTCCCACCTGCTAGCATGCAACCTGACTGAGGAGTGTGCTACCTGCTGGTGGCCATGTTCATTACCCTGGGAAGAACATGTTCTCCGGATACAAGCAAAAACTGAAGGCACGAGAATTGGCACCCAAGCAACGATGCGAACAAATTCACCGTGTGCTCCGCCATGCCGCTCAAGTGAGCACACTCCTCCCAAGAACGCGTATGCGAGCGCCCCCAGCAAAGGGATAGGTGCCCTCACTCAAAATTGCATGGAACCCAAACAAGTCTTCTGGGTTTCCGGCAACCCTTTCTTTGGCCTCCAACATGTACGGATTTCGAAGGCGGACGCGTTGTCAACTTCGAGCACCGAACACAATGAAATCACGTCTGACCGTACGCCCGCCGGAAGGGCACAATCAATTTGAAGGCTCCTTGGCACATTCCGTCTGCAGCTCAGCCAGCCTTTGCATCTGGACAGACAAGGTCACCCCAGCGTAGCTGCCAAAAACAAACGTCTCCACCGTTACAAAGTCGGTCACCACATCTGCCAAATCCTTCCATGGTCGCAGATGCAAGGAAAACATGAGGTAAATCGGTTCTACCGCGTTTTCGGCCACAAAAAACCGTGCCAAGCGTGACCAAACCTAAATTCCCAGGATCCGCCGTGCTCTCGCCCACCCCCATTTGCAGGATCCCTCGCAAGAAGCGGACGATGGAAGGGTAGGCGAAGAATGCCACGGTGAAGGCGATGATTCGGTACACCGGGCTTTCCAAGGAAGCGAGAGGCACGTTGGGTCCATACTTCCTGGAAATCTCGCGCCAAGATTTTACGTTTCATGGTGGATGTGCGTTCTTGGTGGACTTTAATATGGAGGCTCATCACTCATCCAGAAAGTGAAGGAATGGGATGCCCCGTATTGTGCAACCGGAGGGATATTAAACCTAAATTCCCATTGAAATGGTGCACAGTTAAGAATGAATCCCTCTTTTTGACCAACACGGGGGCCCAAAGAATTCTTAATGTTGGATTCCCGTTGACTTTGCTCATTGCCCTTCAAAAAAGACTGCCATCCCCGTAGCTCGATCCCCCTTCTCAAAACGGAAAACGGAGTTATCCACACATCGTTGAAGTGGAACACCCTCAGGCCATGAAACATTGCAACCTCTTCAAAAGCACCCAAACCTTCGATCAAAACATGGTTCCAGTGAAACCCTTTGAAAACTGACCAGAAACGATGAAAGCTGCTAGGTTCATGCTCAGAGTCCTGGACAAATCCTTCAAGTTCACAGTTATGCCATCGAATGCCCGCTCCAGCGCGGTGCGGGTGGCATACTCCCGTTTGGTCTCGAAGACCGAGGTATCGATCTCCAGGAAACGCATGAACGGGCTCTTGTCGGGCTCCTGCCAGGTGAGCAAGCCTTAATGCTGAGAAGGATCGCTTAACAAACAATTTGTTTGGTGTTTGCGGACAACACACCCGCTTGCAATTAGACTCTGCATCCTTTCAGGAGGGGGTCAACATGAAGTCGCGCATGATGTTTGGCCATGGCTTTTCTTTGGAAGTTTTAGCTCACATTGAGCGCACGACGTTTCAACGGATACTTAAGCACCCCCCTCTGCCCTCTTCAAGGCAAACATTTGCGATGGCCACACAGTAATAAAAAACAACCATTGCTTGGACAACGTGATTTCTCCGCTTGCGGCAAGGTAAACCTTTGCACTCAAGGTTGCCGGCCTGTCCTCAGCACACAAAGCGTGTTTCGAGCGGCGCTGCTTTGCCTTCGACACCGCCGCAATCACGATGTTGGCTGCAAGGACGGCACCATATCGGTTCCGTTTCGGTGCCGCCGGAGGGTTTCTGTTTGTTGCCGACCACGGCAACGCCACCCCATCAAAACCACGGCCGCATCGGACTGTGCAAGCTCGCATGGCGAGATGAGTGCAAGCAGCAAGCTGATGGCATCACGCTGGCGGCTCAAGTGCCACTACCCCTTTTCTGAGCACAATGCTATGCAAACTCACACGTGCACCCAGCAACACCAACGTTCAGCAGCAACCCGACGAAATCCCGAGTCACACAGCCCAGCCTAATCGCAAATTTCCTGACCGCACCCTGCCACCATCCTCCGAGACCCTGTTCTACGGCCTGGGCCGGTTCGCTTGGTTTTCGTTTCTTCCCTGGTAAGCCTTAGCCCCGCTAGCCCTGGGCGCCCAAAGGCTAACAGCGTTCCGTTGTTGCACTTGTCCTGTTCCTTATTACTACTAGACGTGTATCTTATTACTGATTATCAATAGTATAAGTGTCTTGCAAAAGACTAGAACACTTGCGAAGCGGCACCTGCAGCTCCAGGCATTGTTCAGGGCTGCAGGGCCTGTAGGCCCCCGTGTTGCGACCGATAGTGCGTGGCGTGGCCCAGCACAAGCACTCTGAAGTGCGCACACTTGTTCGTGCAGTTGTGCTCCGCCAGCGCCCTTTGCAGGCCGCAGGTTTGTCAGTGGGCGTGCCGCCCTGAGGGACTGACGCCGACGGCAACCAGTGGATTTGAGCGGCTGCAGTGAGAATGTCGCTGACCTCTGGGCGGGTTTGACAGCGAGCATTTTTTTTCTCCCAAATAGCTGAAAAAGTTAGACATAAAGAGGGGAATGGGTTTGCGAGATTGATGAGCTAGTGCTAGGGGGCATGCAGTTTGGGGTGCTGGTGAAGGTGCTGTTTGAGGTGCTGGTGAGATTGACTCCTGGGTGCTAGCAGGCATGCAGGTGACAGTGAGGGCGCATTTTTTCGAGATGGACGGTAGGGTGCAAAGGCGCAAGTCGTGTTTTGGGATGTTGTCTGGGGTGCTGTTTGGGGCGCTGATGACTGTGCTGTGCCGGCGTGGGTGCGTTTTTGCGAGATTGACGGCTGGGTGTAAAGAGGCATGCAGTTTGGGGCGGGGCTGCGACGTTTTCGCGAGATTGATGCTTTTGGGGGTGCGACATTGACGGATGCAGCGTGTGCTGGCGCAGGTGGTGTTTTGGGATGTTGTCTGGGGTGCTGTTTGGGGCGCTGATGACTGTGCTGTGCCGGCGTGGGTGCGTTTTTGCGAGATTGACGGCTGGGTGTAAAGGGGCATGCAGTTTGGGGCGGGGCTGCGACGTTTTCGCGAGATTGATGCTTTTGGGGGTGCGACATTGACGGATGCAGCGTGTGGTGGCGCAGGTGGTGTTTTGGGATGTTGTCTGGGGTGCTGTTTGGGGCGCTGGTGACGGCGCCGAGATTGATGCTTCGGGGTGTGCAGTTTGGCGGGTGCATTTTGCGAGATTGACTGCAGGGTGCCAGGAACCATGTTTTCTTGGGCGATGTTGGTCCCTTGCCGGATCCAGAGCAAGGGCTTACTGGGGGGGTTTTTGTCCGGACTCGGCTTCAGGTGTTGCGAGCCGGCCATCCAGCTCCTGCAGCGTTTGCCTGAGTTTGATGACTTGCAAGCCCTTCTTCTACCGTGCTGGACGCTGGGCTCAAGCACGGGCGACCAAGGGACGCCCCGGGTCCGGCCGTTGGGTTTGCGCAAGGCGATGAGCCGCTGCAGGGCGCGATGCAAGCTCACCGCGTGGACCCAGAAGCACCGCCAGAGCCACAGGGTCACATTCTTGCTCAGGAAACGTTTGGCCCTAAAGTTCCTTGGGCAAACTTGGGGAAGCTGGTGATGCTTGTGCGCAACAACCATTTTTTCTCCTTGGTTTTGGCATCGTGTCTTGTCTGTCTGCCGTGTTTAAAAATATTTTTTCAGCCCCAGTTTACGCGATTTTCAGGTGGAAAAAATGACTGGGATTGATAGAAGCAGTTGCCTCGTTTGAGGTGTGGAAAACCAGTTACGCTTGTTCAAAGCTGCAGCTCACAGGTAGTGTTTTTTTCTGTCTCGTTTTGGGTGGTTCTTGGGTGGAAAAAGCCAAAATGTGTGCGCAGCTTTGGTGTTGGCTTGTGCCCCAACAATCGATGAATTGGCGATGTAAGAGGAAGTGGCTTGTTCGTCTTGTTTGGAAGGTTTTCGGGTGGAAAGCGTTGTGTTAGCTCTTTAACGGAACGGGCGATAACATGGCTGTGGGGGGGGAAAGGGAGTGAAGAAAAACACACACACACACACAGACAGACAGACAGACAGAGAGAAACAGACAGGACAGGACAGGGGACAGGGGACAGGGGACAGAGGACAGAGGACAGAGGACAGAGGACAGAGGACAGAGGACAGAGGACAGAGGACAGAGGACAGAGGACAGAGGACAGAGGACAGAGGACAGAGGACAGAGGACAGAGGACAGAGGACAGAGGACAGAGGACAAAGGACAAAGGACAAAGGACAGAGACAGAAAGGAGACAGGAGACAGGAGACAGGAGACAGGAGACGGAGACAGGGGACAGGGGACAGGGGACAGGGGACAGCGGACAGGGGACAGGGGACAGGGGACACGGGACAGGGGACACGGGGCAGGGCACAGGGCACATGGCGCGGGGCACAGGAGAGCACAAAGCACAGAGCACAGAGCACAGAGCACACAGCACACTCCACACTCCACACTCCAGGCTCCACACTCCAGGCTCCACACTACACACTACACACGACACACTACACACGACACACTACACACTACACGCTGCGCGCTACACGCTGCACACTCTACACTACACACTCTACAGTGCACACTCTACACTCCACACTCTACACCACACACTCTACACTACACACTCTACAATACACACTACACACTACACACTACACACTACACACTACACACTGCACACTGCACCCTACACACTACACACTACACACTACACACTACTGACTCTACACTACATACTCTACACTACATACTCTACACCACACCGCTCTACACTACACCACATTACACTACGCCATGCTACGCCAAACTGCACACTACACCACGCGACGCGACGCGACGCTACGCTACGCTACGCTGCGCTGCTCCACTACACTACACTACACACTCTACACTATATACTCTACACTATGCTACGCGACACTATACTACACTCACTACACTACACTACGTTACATTACCTTACATACATACATACGCACAAGTTTGCGCTGACGTCGCCTTTGAACCTAAAGCCCCACAAAAACAAAAAAACTCAAGCTGGCAAGCGGTCCGGCCGCTTGCGACTCAGACCCAGAAGCGCGTCTAAGAAAACAGCTTGGGTTGCTTGCTTTACTAGCCTTCATGGATGCTGATGAAGACCGCGATGCTCACTGGGGGCGCGCGCTGCCAGTCGGACAGGGCTGCACGGGCCGCATCGCTGCGAAGGATCCCAGCCGCGACAAGGAGCAAGGCCACGTAAAACCAACTTCCCTCCAGACAAAGTCAAGGAGGCCTGCTGGGCTGGCGGGCGCGCCAGGAGCAGAAAGCGGACCAGGGAGTGGCTGCATGGGCGCCGGCGGACACGCGAGGAGAACGGGCGGAGAGCCCTGGGAACAGACCCACCCACATTCCTGGAACAGAACATCGACAGCCAGCACGCGAGCACCATGCTCCGGACACACGGGGCGAGAGGGGATGTGCTGGAGCAAGGGGTGGGCAGCGGTCAGGGTCGTACCACACCTCAGGCATACCCACTCGGGTTCCCACGTGCCAGTTTCCCGATTTTGCACTGGCATCCCTGCCAACTCAAACCGCCGGCTGCGACAGAAGCTGATGCTTGCCCCGTCCGTGTGCATGTGCGCCGTGCCCGCTGCAGCTGAAGGGCCCGAGGCCCCGTTTGTGTGGCCATCTTGCGGTCACACACTCCATCTTGGTCGTGTCGCGCACATGCGTGCGAATTCCCGTTGTCCTGTCCGTTTTGCCGCGCTGGCTGGTTCAGAGGCGGCGCCATCCTATGACCCGTTCTGCCTCCTCTCCTTGGGTCTGTTTGCCCCCCTTCCCCCCCGTCTCGTGGCTCGCTTCTGCTGTCACCACGCTGCTTTGGTTGATGGAGCCTCGCCAAGGATGATGTCCGAGGAAAACTTGAAGCTCCGAATTGTTTGGGGCAGCGACGTCAATAGCTGGGAGCCCCTAACGCTTCATTCGATGTGTGACAGAAAAACCAAATTTGTGCATCGATGAGGCATTCGCCTATTGTTTCAGCCGGGCGAATAGCGCCCTGGCTCCTTGTGCCCATGTGTCTGGTCGCGATACAAGGCTACTGATGGTCGCGATGCAAGGTGAAATGAAATAGTAGTTTCGGACCCGATTGGGCGCAAAGCAAGGCACCTGCGAGCAAGGTATATGTGAGGCACTGCCCTTCTCATTTTTCTTGAAGAAAGTTGTCGGGCTGTCGCGCGTGCAAGTCCGCGTGGCGGCGATGAATGTGGACGGCCCGGCACCTGATGCCCGGCGCGTCGAAATCCTTGCGTGTGCGTTGCACGTGTTGCATGGTGCTCAGGTTGCCACCGATGCCATGATGGTCAGCCCACTCGTGAGGGACAGCTTGCGGCGCGGCGGTGTCGGCTAGTCGTCTTCGCCGTCAAGGCCAAACATGCTTCGCGCCCTCACTCCTGCCAGCGCTGGTCCGGCGTTTTTGCATGTTTTTGCCATGGCTGGCCCACCCTCGCTCACCCGCCTGGCGCGGGCCCGGCGGCGGGCCCTGCCGCGTGGCGGCCTGCCCAGTGCTTGGCAAAATGTCCCTTCCTTGTGCGCCTCACTCACCCCTCACTTCTTCTCTGTTGGGTGATAGTTGGTTAAAAGACAGGCGTCACGGCACGTGAGGCAAGGAAACAACGGCACAGTGGCAAGGAGACAACGGCGCAGCTGTAAGGGTGGCCGCTACGCGGAGAGGAAGGCGCCAACACGCTTGCGCGTGACCCCATGTCACTGCCAGTCGGTTTGACGACGGCCGCATTAAGGTCATCGCCAACGTGGCACGGCGCGACTTGTTATTGACACCACCATTGTGTCTCCGCTCACGTCTGAAGGAACCACCCGCTCTCGGTGCGAGCCTGCCCGCCCCGTCACCCTCTTTGAAACCCAGCGCCGCAAAAAGG